ACCGTTGGACACATTCATCAATTGCTGTGTGCTGATCGCCAAAAACTAGGCACCCTACGCATATCCTCCATATGACAAAAAGTCCATGCAAGGACCCTTGTTCCAGTCATATTGCCCGACGGATCTTCCTTTGCGTGAAAATACCTTTGATACATTTCCATCTCCAGAAAACATATCAAGCAGTTCAAAGCGATCTTGAACATCGCAGCTCCATATAATCAGCATGACCTTGAACCCGTGGATCAAGCTATCGAAAACACATCGGATCGGTTGATTGCCAAAGACTGAGGGGAGGGCACACGCTATGAAGACCTGAGACCAACCCTAGGAAATTTGAGTGCCATTCGTATGAGGACCGGGCTTTTGGAGCCTCCATTTGGGCAAGAGCAACCACATAGGAGTCCATGGCCCAATCAAACAGCTCGCACTGATCCAAAATGCCTTCGAACATTGATCAAGGCACTGCTGACTTTCCATCGTGCGTTGCAGGCACATGGGGTTGAGGCCAACTCATGCAGACTCCGCACAGTCTAAACTTAAACAGGTCAGGTGTACATCCAGAGGCAAACCTGATGGCCCAGCTCTCCATCTCGAAAGACCAGACCTTTGGCAGCGCACGGGGAAATTGTGCCACAACTGTGTATATGCTCTGTGTGTGTCATTCACGTGATGCAATCCAACTATTGAGTCTTGTCTTGACACTTCATGGCATGAACCAAGGAAACCGCAGGCAGGTTGTTTTCCCCTCGCGGTGAGGTCTGTGATCACACAGCCAAACGAAGATGGCCCTGTGGGCGCTTGTTGTAACCTTAATTATGGTAAAAAGAGCTAGCGAGCCACTAAGACCGTGCGCTACCCAGATGATACTGCACAAGCGTGGAGTTCACACTTTGTGATTCCCCAGAAGCACGGCCAGACTGCTAGATCTCAAAGCTGCAAAAGTCACTGGCTGCCAAACCAATTGTTCTTGATCCTCAGATTTCCCACATCAAGGATGCTCATGCAGGCGTCCAGGTCACTGAGTCGCAGCATATGCCTGGGTCTAGAAATGAAGAAAATGAAGAATCACACGCCTTGTTTAGACTCAGACTAGGAACCTGCTTTGCTTTCGTCTTCGCAACTTCTTCCGGGAGTCCCTGTTCCAAAGCCTCCTTTCTTGCTTTGTGGTAGGCGGATGACTTTCGTGATTGTTTTGCTTTGTGCAAGGGATCGCGAGCACGAACAGGCCTGCCGGTTGTCGTGTTGTCCTCGTCCCTTACGTTGGTTGTCGTGTTGCCCTCGTCCCTCACGTTCGTCGCGTTGACCTCGTCCCTCACGTTGGTTGTCGTGTTGTCCTCGTTGGCTGTCGTGTTGCTCTGGCCGCTCGCGTCTGCTGCGTTGGAGCTCCGCGTGTCACGTGCCCTTGATTTTGCTTTTGCCTGTGCTTTCGACTTCGCTTTTGCTTTTGCCGTTGCTGCTGCTGGTCTTGCTGCTGCCTCGCGCTGAGGATTGTTCGTACTGTCGTCATCGTGTGTCACTGGCACTGCCCGTGGCTTGCGCTTGCGCCCGTGTCCAGCCTCAGCTGGCTGCTGTTGCTCATGCTGCACATCAGCTTGCGGTGCTGCTGCTGCTGCCGCCTTCGCTGCTGCTTTTGCTTTCCTTTTGTTGGCCGCTGTTGCTTTTGCTGGTGCTTCTGCGTCGGCTTCTGCGTTGGCCGCTGCCGCTTTTCTGGCTTTTCTTGGCCGCTTTGATGCTGGAGCAACCTCCTGCGGTGGGGCTGATGCTGCCATCTCCTGAGAGCTTTGCTGTGCCAGCTGTTTGGCCTTCTGCTGCTCCTGCTCCTGCTGCTTTTGCTGCTCCTGCTGCTGCGCTGGCACTGCAACCAGTTGATTTGATTCATCCTGTTGTGTAGCACTTGCTTGCTCCTGATCCTGATGTTGTGATTTTGCATCCGGTTGTGATATTGGCTGCGGCTGCTGTTGTTGCTCCTGCGGTGTTGCCTGCATCATCTTCGTTTGCTGATCCTCCGCGCGCACTGCTGCGGCCATAGCCACGCTTGCTGGCTGCTGGGGCTGCTGCTGCTGCTGCTGTTCTGGAAACGATGTTGGTGCTGTCATCTGAGTCTTCCGATGCTGTGCCTGCAGCGGCTGGTTTTCCTTTGCTGGCTCCCCGCACTGTTTTTGCATCTCCTGCGATCGCTGCCTTGCCAACAGCGCTGTTTTGAGTGTCTCTTCTGCTTCCTCCAGTTCTTTCAGCACTTGTTCAGCTGTCCTTTCCTGTTTCACTGGCAGGGGCTGTTGACGTTGACCTCGCATGGCCTGCTCTGCTTTGCCTTGATTTGCATCAGCCTGACCAATCGAATTCGTTATGCATCTAACTGTCCCGACCCTGTTCTCCCTGCCTTCTTCACCAAAGTGCCTAACTTGGCAATTGCATCAGGTCGATGGTGAAGTTCAACTTCAAGGATGGGCGAGAAGGCCATCGGCTGCGTCTCGGCATCATCCATGCCTGGGCGGGCGCGGCGAGAAGTCCCAGCTAGAAGGGTGTTTGTATGGGTTTGCAGCTAGTGCTAATACATTTAACTGGGGAACCATATGTCCAGTTCGTCGACTGGATGTTCTCCAGGCGATTCACTTCCGCACAAAGTTTCATCATCTCTTCAATCTTGGTGAGCTCGGCCAAGCATTTCTGTTTTGCATCCTGTGCGTGCGTGCCCAAGTATCCAGATCAAGGGAGCCACATGTCTTTGGGGGCATCCCTAACTCCCAAAGCATCTACCTTCCAAAGCTTTGAAGTTGCAGGGTAAAAAAAGGGAGTGGGAGGGAGGGAGGGAGGGAGGGAGGGAGGGAGGGAGGGAGGAGAAAGAGACGAGGGGGACAAAGAAGGATCACCAGAAAACAAAAAGAAAAAATAGAGAAATGACGGCGAGAGTATATAGAGAGAGAAAATGCAGAACAATGATCGATCGATACATGGTTTCGAATTTGTTCAGGGGCAGCCAACAAGTTGGTCCTCCAAAGGTCGGACCACCGAAGCTTTGATTTGCATAGTCTTCTCCGGGGTGATGAACCTTCCAGACTCGCCTGCCAACAACATTTTTTCATGCATACTGTATGTCATGTAGCTGCGGTGCACAAGCCCCCATATCCCTGCCGCCTTTGGCAGGCGGCGTCGTTGCTGCAGTCGGTGCGGGGGCCAGGGCAACTTGGCGAGTGGGGTTTCCTGAAGTAGGGATCCCCTGCGGAGCACCATTTTCAACTGGTTGACGAGCAACAGAAGCATTGATTTGTTGCTGCTGTGGTGTGTTGTAAGGATTGCTGGGAGCCGGCCGTCCAGCTTCTGCATTGATCAAGTTCCTCAGGGTCACCCGATCGTTTCAGGAATCGAATGTAAATTAGAGCTGAGGAAGGGGCTGAATCATCTCCTTGTCATCAGCTTCACAAGCCTCACCTCATAGGGAGCAGCTAGACTCAATTATCATTTGAAACGAATTGTGTTTCTCGTGGCCACTCAACAACTGTTCGAAGGTGCCCTGCCTGATTGCACGTCCAAAACCACATCATCATCGGTAAGTGGCTCCTCTTCACCGCCTTCCTCTTGAAACCTATGGAGCTCATCACAATTTTCAGGGTCCCCTTCTTCTGCAACGTCTTCAGGGTCGATGCCAGCTCCAGCCTTCATGATTCTTAACAGGGATCGGTCTCTCGGGATGTGGGGGCGTCGGATGATATCGTTAAATATGGATATCATGCGGCGCAGACACCATCCTTGATACTTCACCATCGGACCTAAGGTTGATTGACAAATGGACCTTCCCCACATCAAGTCTTGAGACAGCTAGTGCCGAAATAAGTGGACCACGCATGCCATGTCGCTGCTATGTTTAATGCATTTGCACGCCATGTTCAAATTACGTGCGTGCAACTTTGATCGACAAGGTGCGGGGTGGTGTCAGCTCCATGACATCGTACAAGCTCTGCAAGTGAAGCGCGCAGGTGTCTACGCCGGGGCGGTTTCCCAACTGCTGGAGGGCTAGGGTCAAAAGTTGCTCGTTCATGCCCAAGGTGTCCCGGGTTATGCTGTTGCCCATCATGCGCACCTAGGCCAAGAAGGGTGGTGACATCACATGGTGTCACGCAGCACACAGGTGATGCAAGTGATTCAGGCGAGGTTCCGCTTCGAATCTGGACGCACGGCGGCGGATTTCTGGGACTCCCTCCCAAAGGCGAGCAAGTGGGGTCACCATGGCTTTGGCCAATGCCAGGGCAAGTGGCGCCGAATCTGGCAATTCCAATATGCCATGTTTTCAAGTGCCCTGTTAGTCACAGCTACGCCAAGTATCACACGTGCTCCTTGAGCATGTCACATGCATGTGTTCCATGAGCACCCTTGACCAGCTTGAGGCAAGCCATGCAGCTGCATGTAACGCACCTGCAAGTGTATGCGTGCAACGTTGCTTCGCGCAGCTGATGATGCTTGGCGAAGTGCACCAAGTCCCTGGCGCTCGCTCATCTCCACCCCGATCGCGATCCATGACCACCCATGGCTTCACATTCAGGAATTGAATGCGAGTAGTTGCACACATGCGATGTTGTTGTGGCATGCCTATATCCATGCATGTTGTTGCACGCATACCATATACTTGTGCGTATCTGACCCTGTGCCACCCTCCCCTCCAGCCGAGGCAGATCGACGGCGGCCCACTGCACCTGATGAGGGATGGATGGATTGATCGGTTTGTTTAGGGTTCCTCAGGGATTGAAACGTCTTCCAACTCAGGAAATATTGGGCCAAACTATGATATTTAGGAGTTTCACCAGCGCTACATAATTTCCAGGAGTCTTAGCAACAAGTCTTTAATTTCTAGGAGTTTCACCCTCAAACCAAAACTCCGGCTTTTTCCCTGAGTATTCCAAAGAAGTAGTGGTCTCCGGAAATTACGTTAAAATATCCTGAGTTGGAAGATACAGGTATTGATACACACACAGAGCCCGCAAGCTCTGGTGTTTTTCTCGCTATAGGACTCCTTGATGGTGAACAAGCGTGGGAAGGTGGTCTCCAAGCTCCGGTCTGCCAAGGGCAAGAAGAGCTCCTGGGCCGATTTGTCGCTCCAAGCGGGCGAAGCGATTCCAGTGGAAGGGTTCCAAGCTTTGGGATTTGTCCCTTTTTCGGGTGGGGAGGGCAAAGACATGGTTGTCGTTGGGAAACATTTTACATTTTTGCTTATTGTGGTTTAGTGGTTGAAATCCCCACCTAACTGCTCAAATTTAAATTTTTGCTCCCCTTCCAACGTCAACCAAGAAGAGCGCTGGCCATCCCCCAGCGTTTGAACGTGGCAGCAATCAGCTTGGCAGGGAGTGTGTTCGCCGGATTTCGCCGTGAGTTTTACGTGGATCTTCAGGAGCACACTTCACGGATTGCTGCTTCTCGAACAGAAACCTTCTTCCAAGTTCAATGTTCATGGGTCAGACTGGAATCAGAATCTTGGAAGGAAGTGGCACCTCAATCACTTATTTCGCGATTGCGGAAGCTGAACACTTGCTGATGCTTGGCGGTATGACTCTGCTTTGACAACAAATTTGACATGACATCTTGCCGCACACCGCATATATGTATATTTTCTACACTAGTATTTTGATTACAATACGCCAGGTGCGCAATGTATATACTACGTTGGTCTCAGGCGAGCTCCATTTGGTCTCCTTCAGAAATGAGAAGTAGTTTGCCTGACACTGCCCGATTTTGCCGCACATACGGTGGTTGCACCTCAGCTTTAGGCCGCTAAGAAAGTCTTGTTGAGATGTTGACCACCACATGGGAGTTTCTCATATGGGAGTGTCTTTTCTGAGGGTACCCTTTTTGGGTTCTTTTTAGAGGAAATCCAAAAGGAAAACCCAGCATGTTGGCGGTCGCCGTAAAAGATGTCATCCCCATATTGGTCTTTGCAAGAGCCCCAGACGCCTCCAAGTTGAATGGTTGAGGCTTCAAGCACATCGAGAGCTGGGTTGAGGCTGTCATGGAGGCCAGTCTCACGGAGTCACTGGACTCTTGACTCGTGTTTGGAGAATTTGACCGTTTCCCTCACGAGCAAAAGGGGTGATTTGAGCCATGAATTTTCAGTGAAGATAAAAGGCTCAGCTTGAACTTGGTGCCCAAGCAAAAAGGGAGAAGTGGGGAGCCTTTGAAAACTTTGAAGGGACAAGATAAAAGCCTTTGGATTTTGGGGATGGGCTTAGGGCATTTCAGGGAAACACCCCCAAAAAGGCGAGTGAGTGTCTTGGTGCCCTCCCCCACAAGGTCCGAATGGTTATTCAGCCGGGTGGGTTCCGTGTGGAAGCGCGTCACGCCCTTGGCTTGGCTTGGCGGTGCCGTCCGGGTGATTAGGCTTTAGTACCTGGAGTCTCCATGACCCTTGAAAAATTGGTCCATGACCCGTTGACCCCCATTTTTAAAGGGTCATGCAGACTCCAGGTAGTTTCTAGTTGATCTATGCGTGGCTTCCATTTCACCCACAACTAAGCTTTTTAGAAGGGGGATCTGAGAGCCCAGAAGTGTAGGTGTGCTGTTTGGCTTTCCAGCATGAAAATTGATGGTTGTTTTCTTGAAGGAAAACCAGAACTCGCGCAGGTGTTGCCCACACCGGGTGTTTCTGTTTTGACAAATAGCCACATGGGGGTTGATCAACCGGTCCTTTACATAGGATAACCATTGCACTTTGTTCTCTCAGGGATTGTGATTGCTCTCGGCTCATCCCCACCAACACGGACCCTTCCCCCATTCTCCTTTATGGACTGCTCTGCAACCACCTGGAGTCTCCTTCTGACCCTTGAGAAATGGGTCCATGACCCTTTATTTTGGGTAATGACCAACCATTCTTAAAGGGTCCTTAGGGAGACTCCAGGCAGACTGAAGGATATGAATTTGAATTCCTCAAGGACTCTTCCCTGTTGCCGCCGCAAGGTGGGAAGGTGTTTGCAGGAACCCCGCCCCAAGAAAGCTGCCAACGCCCAGAAGGACGAGCCACCCCAACTAGGTCCCCCAGTGCCCTTTCTCACCGCGTCTTTTTTGGTTGGGAGGGTTCCCCTACTAAATTAGACGAAACAGACAAAAAGTGGGTACCCTACTGGCTCGATTGGCGCGCAAGCGGCCGACGGGTCCGATTCGATGTGGGGCGGCGAGGCCCGTGCTGCCTTCAATGCCAAAGGCTTCGTGGCCATCAACGGCAAGACGCTGCAGGGCAAGGCGCGTCCGGCGGGGGCGAGGAGGGGGGGAGAGGAGGGGGTGAGGAGAGTGTGCTCTTTTTTGTTTCAGCAGCTGAAAGCTTTGGGGTCACAAGCACCTTGATGGTATGGTCATCAACCCTTCAGGGAGTTTTGTCCAAGGATGACAAGGACAGCTCACCCTTCGCTCTCTACCCCTTGCGCAACGGTTAATAGACCCTTTACTTGGGCTTGGGCATAGGATGGGATGGTCATGAAGCCATGACCGTGGAATTTAACAGTAGACATGAGCAATTGTCCAAATAAACAGGAGGGTTTTTTCTTGGTTTCCCTTGAAAGCAGGGGTAATGGATTGGGGAACACGTCAGAAATTGGCAGGACGTAAATGCCAACGTAAATGATGTCCACCAAAACAGCCTGAATTGCAATTTGGGGCCCATATGTTTATGAAATCACACGGGTGTGTCTTAAAGTTTGGGACACTCCTTCCTGACCGTCCTCTGAGAAACTAAAGTATCTCCACCATTCACAGGATTCCAAATACCCATTCTGGGCCACTGCCAATCTCAGGTTGGGCACGAGTCCCAAATTGGATTGGTTGTTTGGGGATTTGAAGCCCTGGTTCTTCAATCCAAACCACCAATTCGTGGAAGCTGAAACATTGTCCTCGGTGAAATACTTGTGACGATCAGCTGAGACGCTTTTACTTTTATTGTCTGGTGCCGGAGCTCCGTGCTGCCTACAGCTTTTCAAGAGAGAAAGTTGGATCGCTTTTGTGATGAGCTGGGTATCAAAGTAGGGGGACCCCCAACAATGGCGGGGGGTGGGGTCCTTTCGGTTTTCCTTTCAACACACCTGAGAGCTTAAAACACACGCAACTTAATCTGATCCTGGGTGGGGGTTCCTCTGACCAGTCACCACAACCCTTGAGAAACTCACGCTGTTTGTGCGCTTTATGCATTCATTTGTGCAGTCCCTGATTTGGAAAGAGCCACATGCGTTGGCACTCAGTGTGGCGTTTTGCCCCATGAAGTGAATGTTCATGTGTAGGTGCTGTTGAGTGCCATGTTGCCGGTTACGCTTTAAGTTTCCCACAGCTTATTTGCCGCCAACCCAAACGGCGAGCTTCTTTTCAAGCCAAACTCACCTGGAATCGCAGGCAATCATGCCAGCATTCAAACTACTCGGGCTTCCGCTGGCTGACGATTTGGGCTGCTGGTATATCCCTTTAAAAATGGGGTCATTACCCAAAACAAAGGGGTCATGGACCCATTTTGCAAGGGTCATGGAGACTGCAGCTATGTCTAAGAATCTCGGCTCTCTGGAAGTAAGGCCGAGATGGGTCGGGTTGGTCACCAATCACACGCCCAAAGGGTCCAGAGCCCACCTTCGCTCAGTGCCCTAGGCCCTTACCAACCAGAGGTTGGGGGGATTGACTTTGATGCCCCTCAAGATGAAACTTGAGGCCTTGCTCTGCGTGCATTGTCACAACCAGGGTTGCCATTTTGGTCCAAAGATCAAAAGAAGGTTCAAGCTCGAAGGCTGCGAACACAGCGCCCAACACCGAATTCGGCCTCTCAATGAGGAGGTCGACTCCCTTGGCCATTTCGGAGGTCGCGATCTACTTCGTTTTATGGCACCACCGGGTTCTTTGCGTAGCGAATTGCGGGAAGACTACGGGATAAATTCGGGAAGACTCCCGCCCCGGCGGTAAAGTTCGGTAAAGTGTTCGGTAAAGTTCGGTAAAATTCGGTAAAGTTCGGCAAAGTTCGGTGAAGTTTGCTAAGACTCGATACAATTCGGTAAAATTCGGAAAAGTTCGGTAAGACTCGGTAAAGTTCGGTAAGACTCGGACAAATTCACCCGGACGACTACCTGGAGTCATGACCCTTAGCAAATGGGGTCATTACCCAAAATACTGGGGTCATGGACCCATTTTTTAAGGGTCAGAAGGAGACTCCAGGTACGGGAAGACTTCGCAGAATCTGCCAGGCCCTGTACGCCAAAGCCAAGGCCATCCGCGCCTCCGCACAGGCGGCCAGTACTCGTCGGTTGGGAGGAGGTTTGGGTTGAAGGGTTTGGTTTTGGTGACAATGGCGTCTCCATGACCCTTTAAAAATGGGTCCATGACCCCTTTATTTTGGGTAATGACCTTTTTGGACGGTCCCCTCCCAAAAAAACACAGAAAAGCAACGTGCAGTCGGCAGAAAGTTGATTCCGCCCCCCCCAAAAAAAAAGAAGACAAAAAACAAGGTTCAGTCGGCTGAAAGTTGATCCTTTCTGCAGGCAGGCTGAGTCTGGTCCAGCTTCAAGCGGGGAGTTGACGACACAGCTGTTTATCATAGTTGTCAATTGCACCTGAGGTTTATCTCTTTTCATTTGCGCTACGTGGGACGAAGAACAGATATGGTGTAACTGAGTTTAGCTGATTTTGTTGCAGGAATAGTCATGTCCGTAGCTATGTAAGCGACAGGGCCTCTTGGCCAACAGGAGGGAAATGGTTCTTGGGACATTGACTGTCGACTCGGATATTCGTTTCAGGCTTCGAGTGAAACTCGGCTGCGCTGAACATGGTAAGATCAAGTTGCTTTTGTCCAGGCACGCTGAAAGTCGCAAGAACAAAGGTACAGGTAGACTCCGGGGTGGATGGAGCACACCTAAGCTGGGTTTTATGTAAAGATAAATCAACCTGGAGTCTCCGAGTCTGCCCCGAAATAAAGACGGGTCCATGACCCCTTCATTTTGGGTAATGACCCTATTTTTTAAAGGGTCAGGGAGACTCCAGGTAGAGAAATCAAGTTCCTGGGGTCTCCATGACCCTTGAATAATGGGTCCATGACCCCTGTATTTTGGGAAATGACCAACCATTTCTTTAGGGTCAGAAGGAGACTCCAGGTTGCTAGCTTGGTTGGGGGTTTTGTTCAGCGTATTTCAGTCTTCGGTCCTGGAAGTTCAATGTGGCTCTTCGGGCAAGCGGGTCACGGGTCGAGCGAGCCGCGGACTCTGATATCCGTAGGTCAAAAGTCGCGGGCGGCTGCCCAGTCGAACGGGGGGGATGTCCCTGATCAGCTCAGATATACAACGTTTGGGAAGATGGTGTGTGTTTACATTTGTTCTAACTTTGCATTGCCTCACCCGTTTCTCCCTGTCAGGGGACCCTCTGTTTTCTGCTTAGTTACAGTTGCCTGGGACCATGGGGGTGTCGTATGGTGTCCAAAAAATCAGGGCTCGCTTTTTGGATGCTGTTTCAAGGGCCACCGAACTGATTTCACTAATTTTCGAAGGCTTCCCTACAATTTACCCTTCCCAACAGGTGGGTGTGGCTCAAAATCAACGAGTTAGGGTTACCCAGGTGGTGTTTGTGTCCGTTTGGCTGGAAGAACCTGGGCTTAGCTATCCGGCCAGGCCCCCTTGCCCGCGCCTGGGAGCTCGAAAGCGACTTGAAACGGGAGGGACCCCCCCCAAATATCCCAAATAGCGGAAGTTTCAAGTTGTGGTTTCCCTTTGAAACATACCCAAAAGGGGTCCCACCAACATGGGTGTGTGCACAGACCCCTGTAGAAAGACTACTTTCCGCTTGGTGAGTTGGCCTTTTTGCACTTCCATGGTAGGGTGTGGGAGGGTATCCTCAAGGGAACACTCACTTGTTCAACTTGCCAAGGTCAGTGGATAGCTCATTTTTGTCGTGACACAACAGGCAAACTCCAGTGAGGGCGGCCTAGTGGGTTATGACTTAGGTTAAAAGCGAACTTGGCCGTTCTCCAGGAGGGTATTTAGTGGGTTTGGGCTTGGACGATGGTTCTGGTGCTTGGATATGAAATGGCCTGGGCTTTGTGTTTGCAGTTGTCTTGGCTTGAATAGTTTGTTGCCTCATTCACATAGGTCCGTGAGTTGTCAAACGCATTGACAGGATCGAAGTTTGGTCACCCTGTGCTGCGTGTTGCCTGAGACAACGACTTTCCACGCATTGGTTTGGCTCGGGGGGGGGAAGAGAGTGAGAGAGAGAGAGAGAGACAAAGAAAGAGTTGTCCAATGTTTCGTTGGAATCTTTCTGCCGTCCAACCACCAATCATCGACTGATGGTTCTCTTGGGGCGACAGGTGGCCCACATCGTTTCAAAGAATGCCGATGTCCGGGGATCCGTCGTGGGACCACCAGCCATGCAAGGTGTTTGAGCTCAAGAGTGTTTTCACATCCCCTTGAAAAGGGCACAAGCTGCAGGCTTCTTCTGCGTAACAAAGCCTGCCTCGCAGCTCTCTCGCGATTTGGCGTTTGCCTTCGAAGCTTTCCGTTTTGGCCGCTTGTGCCCTGGATGTTGCACAAGTTGCTTTAGCTTGGCGGCAGGCGGCATTAGCTTGGCATCCGGTTCCTGAGGTGTGGTGGTGATTTGTTTGATTGGGGAAACCATCTCACCCGCAAGCTAGTCACTTGCTTGGTTTTGTCTTGGTATCTGAAAACGGACAGCCCAGTTTAAGGCAAAAGGCGTGGTCCAGCCCTTGCGCTGGCTTCGGGTCCAGGGGAGCAATCTGGGCAATCCAATTCTCAGCAGCCTTGAGCTGAGCGTCGGATAGGAACATGGTCGTTGTTGAGAAACATGTTGCAGTTTTGCTTATGATGGCTTAGTGGTTGAAATCTCCACTTAACTGCTAAAATTTATGTTTTTGCTCCCCTTCCAACGTCAACCAGGAAAGAGTCACCTGGTTTCAGGTGTGTTGTTTCGAAAGCTCCGTCAGGGTTCTCCGTGGACACATCGATGGACCCCGAATGTGCATAGGTGTCCTTTTCAGGGCGTGCCTCTCTTTTGCCCTCAAACTGGTGGCAAAAAGGACAATTCTGCTAGGGAGTGCTGTGTAACATGGGCGTTGTGTGTTTGCTGACTGGTGCGGAAGTTGGAGGAAAAACAACGGTAAGGGCTAGATACCATTGGGCACGTACACGTCTGTGTCGCCCGCTCCAAGGCCAGCCGCGATGGCCTGATCTGTTGATCTGGCAGAAGGGCATTTCCATCCAGTCATTGGCTGAAAGCAGCTTTGCTGGAGTTGCTCCGCGCTGTTGTAGGCTTCATGGGAGGAGTGGCGCCAATTAATTGCCGTCCATGGTACATGTCGAGAGAGTGAAATCTCCAGATTGAATCGCCACTGGCTCCTGCGAAGATCTGCCAGCCGATGCACATGCACACAATTTGCCCACGTGGCCGCGTCAGCTGACGCTTTTGATCTGTGCGCATGCTTTGCGGTTTGCACAGATTACGTTTGGTCTACACTGCTGGGGGATGGTGTGGCCAGCGAATGCGAGTGGAAGCGAGAAACTGGGTGTGCGAGCTGGGGTGAGCTTGTGAGACGCATATTTCCACTGACCAGATGCATGGCATTGCCCTGCGTCGCACTCACTCAAATCCGGGCAAGTCGTTGAAGAACGTGTTCCTTTCAAGCCATCCTGCTATCAGGTTCCTCCTTTCGGGCTGGTAAGCGGGTTTGTGACAATACAGACAGCTGCTCATCGTTTGGTAGCAAGGACGTTTGCCAATTATACTGACTGGGTCAACTGAGATTCGCCGTGGCTCGGAATGAGGTACGCTGCCCATCTGAACAAGCCTCGTAGTATTGCAAGCAAACACCGGAACCAAGTTTGGGGACAATGAGGTTGCACCAAGCATCAGGAGTTGAGGTATCAAGAATCAAATAGCATTGCAGCGAACTGCGCACAAACACCTCTCTCTCTCTCTCCTTCTCTCTCACCTCTCCCCTCATCGTTTTCACCTCCTCGCAAACAATCCATGTTCCCTTCAATGCTGTCATCCATGGGTTTCAAAGTCCGTCCCGCTGAGCCCCTCAAGTTCGCCGACCTTCGGTTTTGTTTTTCATGTTCCTTGCGGACTTGCCCAAGCAGGTTTCTCAAGGATCTTTGTGCCCAAGTGCTCCGGATATTTTTGCGTTTTTGAAACTCTGGAGGTGGGTCTTCCTGTTGAAATCGTTGCTTTCATACCTGGAGTCTCCTTCTGACCCTTGAACAATGGGTCCATGACCTCTTTATTTTGGGTAATGACCAACCATTTTTAAAGGGTCAGAAGGAGACTCCAGGTATGGGTGGCTCGTCTTCTTTTAAGGTGCCCGGGCCCACCAAACATGGTGGTTGTCCTGATGGTGTCCCTGCAAAACCGAATCAGAAAAGGGGTGGCCTCAAAAAGGCGAGCCACCCAGGGACCCATGTTTGACTTGTTCCTGGTGCATTTGGAAACCATTCAGGGGTATGGATTTGTCTAGAAACCGGAAGTCATCATCTACGGGCGTTCAATGTTGGCAGGGGTAAGCAAACATGTGTGGATCCTGCTTTTCTTTGTGGGATTGGCCTTCAATCATTTTGGAGGAGGCGCATTCACAGCTACAGCTGTCTGAGGGAAGACAGTGGTTTCCTCTGAAGCTGTCTCCCGTCCGATTTCATGCCTGCCATCCAAATGAATCAGGATTCTACCTGGAGTCTCCATGACCCTTAAAAAAGGAGACTCCAGGTAGACACAATGATTGTGAGGGTTACTTTTCAGGGGAGTCTGACTCGCTCCCCTATTATCGTTGCTTGCTTCCAAGTTTGCCCTCCCGTACCAAAGGGGGTTCATCCTCGTCACAATATGCCGTTCGCGTGCCCAATGAGCAGCTTGACTGCCTCAAGTTTCTTAACCGCCCACGGACAAAGCCGGCAGGTGCCATCGTCGCGGACTACGAGGCCCGGCCGCTGGCATGTCGGACATGCGTTGCTTCAAATGAGCCACAATCAAAACCCGGGTACCAGCATATTTTTAGTGCCCTCCAATGAAGGGCACTTGACGTGTTTTTGCATCGAGGGCACTTAAGGCCGTGTCCCTAAGTGACCCTTTGATTCATTTGCTAAGTGTCCTTTTTGGCGTGATAGGGGTTGGAATCGAGCGGCTACCCGTGTCGAAGTGTGACAGCTGCCACATCTGATTGGGGCCGACCCGGAAAGCCCGAACGCGACGTTTTGAGTGTCAAAGCGTGTCATTTGAGTGTCAGTGGGGGTGCGAATCGAGGTCACTTACCCCTTGAAAAGGTCACTTACACTAGTGCGTGAGTGTCATTCTGCAGCTCGATTTGCCCAGCGTCGGTCCCCGCCCGTGTGAGTGTCATTCGCATTCACGTGTCGCTGGGGCTCGATTGACCCGGACTGAGGAGGGATCTGCTGGGGAGGGCAACCCTGAGGGTCTAAGTGCCCTTTGAATGGCTCAAGTGACCTCTTGATTTAGGACTAAGTGCCCTTCATTCCCTAAATGGATCATAGCACGCAAAAAATGAATCGAGGGCACTGAAAAGAAGCTGGTAGATGAAGTTGAGTAAGGGACAATCCCAACCATAAATAGCCACGGCCGCCTTCGTAATTCTTTACATGGTTCTGGGTCGACCATTTCAATGCCGGGTTTTGAGTATGACTCAAATGGAGGTGGCCGAAATGCCAACCGTTTCGCACGCTTTCCCCGGTAAAGAACCGGCCAAAGGGCTCAAAGAGGCCATGGGTTCATTGGCTTTGCAGCTGGCGCAGCTAGGGTGCTGCATTTCGCGTGCTCGTGTGTGTGTTCTCGGAGCGCACTTGGACGCGTTTGGTTTCGACCTGACACTCTGCACCCGATTTCCTGGGCGCGTAGGAGTTCGGTGTGCATCCGGGATACAGCAGAACCCCCATGCCGGAGTAGATTTGCAACACAGCTGAAATTTGATAACTGCAACAAGGGGTCCCTCCCAACGGAAACAAAGGACTCCAAAATGTGCTGGAGAGACCCAGCTTGTCGATTCGCAGGGTCCCTTCCCCTGCTTTTGCCGGGACCATAAATATTAACCAAGCCACTATCGGCATCGCAGATGACTTGGAACAGTTAGAGCAATCAATGTTCCTTCCACAGCACAAATATGAAAGAAGGTAAACTACTGCAGCATGTGAGCTATTGTATCTAAGGTCATAGTTTATAAGTTGCCTAAAGGAACATGCCAAAGGCCAAGCAGGCATAAGGAAGGATTTTGGGGTACTGTCGACCCCGGAAAGAAAAAACCTAGCCATCCTGAAGGGGTGTAGTACTCCTGGGTTTCCATGGTTCCCACTACACTCCCAAAAAAGGCGCTATTCTTCGCTTTGGTTTTCTTAAGCCCCAAAAAGGGTACCCCGTGCAAGACGAACAATTATGTTTATAGGGGACCCCAAATCATGCGGGTTTCCCTGGTTGATTTGCGACAAACCCAAAAGAAATACCCTCCTACCATTCAACAGGGTCCCTTTAAAGGGAGAATGGTCGAAACCAGGACCCCCGAACGCCAGGTTAGTGAAAAGGGAGGGAGGGCAGCGGAAATGATCGAAATAAATCCACACCAACATGGTAGGGTTTGCTTTTCAGGGGTAACACATGGGGGTCCTCTTTGTTCCCTTTGGTTTTCCTTCCCAGAAAGGGTAGCCTTCCCTCTAACATAGCACCTGGGGGGTCCTGGTTTGGACCATTTTCCTTGTGAAAAATGGGTGCATGACCTCTTTAGTTTGGAATGACCCCATTTTTAAAGGGTCATGGAGACTCCAGGTACAGAAAAAAAGAAACGGTACTTATTCTAACCTCTCTACTGGAGAACCTAGCTGAGGTCCGAGAGATTGGGCTTCGCAGCGGCATGTACCTGGCGAAGGAAGCTTCGGCGAAAGGCGCAAAGCTCTCGAGAAAAGCTGGGACTCCGAGTGAGCTGCCGAGCGAACAAGCAAGCAAGGAAGCAAGCAAGCAAACAAACAAACAAACAAACAAAAGCACACACACAAGAAAACAAAAAACAAACAAAAAACAATCAAACAATCAATCAATCAAACAAACAAACAAACAAACTAACTAACTAACTAACTAAGAAACTAACAAACTAACAAAGTAACAAACTAGCTAACTATTAATAACTAACTAACTAACAAAGTAACAAACTAGCTAACTATTAATAACTAACTAACTAACAAAGTAACAAACTAGCTAACTATTAATAACTAACTAACTAACTAACTAACTAACTAACTAACTAACTAACTAACTAACTACCTAGCTAACTAACTAACTAACTAACTAGCTAACTAACTAACTAACTAACTAACTAACTAAAACTAACTAAACTAACTAAACTAACTAACTAAACTAGCTAACTAACTAACTAACTAACTAACTAGCTAGCTAGCTAGCTAGCTAGCGAGCAAGCAAGCAAGCAAGCAAGCAAGCCTTCAAGCAAACAAACAAACAAAGAAACAAACACACACACACAGGCAAGCGAACAAACAATCAAACGAGCAAACACTCAAGCAAACACACACACGAACAAGCAAGTGAACAAACAAACAAACAAACAAACAAACAAACAAACAAATCGAATCAAATCAAACAAACAAGCGAACAAACGAACAAAACAAACGACCAAACAAACGAACGAACGCACGAGCAAACAAACAAATAAATAATATTTTGTTGTTCTTGCTTCAAGATAAACCATGGTTTTGTCGGAAGGTAGATGGTGGCGACTCGTTGTGATGGAATCCTTGTTGTGCCCAAGTCATAGGACTGCCCAATGCGGTCATCTTAGGATGTTACACTTGTGACGCCTTTGGCGCGCTCGGATGAACCATAGTCTTCGGGTGCTCAAGCGGATAGGTGACCGGTGGGTGGTGGACATGAGTTTTACTATAGAGAGGATACAGTTGTGACCCCAGCTGGGGGGATGTAGCCCACTCGGAGGAGTCGGAATGAAGGCATGAGTCCGCGGACATGTCCCTGGCAAGGCCTGATTCAACCAAGCTGTTTGACATTGGCAGTTGTTGGTGTTGAGACTAGTTTCCGCAAGACTGCACTTGTACACCCCTCACAAACCACAGTAAATCAGAGAGAATTCCGGTTTTCCTATCCTATGAATTCATTCTTGGGTCGAACTTGTCCCAGAAGTGGCACAAGGCCCAGCCTCATTGTTTCAGGCAGCGGGCTGGCTGATGCTCTTGATGTGGGAGCCTGAGCGGCGATGGTTTTTTTTTTTCAGTCCGCGGGTGACCCGGGCGGAAAAAGC